TATTTTTTTTAATATACGCATAACTAACTGGCAAACTATTTTTTAATAAGCATGAATATTACTATGAAATTATGATTTTTTGTTTAGTAATAATCTGTATATTATATTAATTGTATACTGTTACTTGATTTTCTTCACTGACGGAGCTTACATGAACCCAATTTCATCTGTTTTATTTTCCTGATAGAGTTTACACTAAAATAAGGTACTCGTGGCGGAGTTTGGATGCGTCCCTATAAGCTAATGGACAGCGCTTAGAGAGAGAAAACAGTGGTACAATATAGAGTGAGCAAGAAAAAAAAACATAGTAGTAAAATGTATACAGTAAGAAGTAGTTACACCCGCATGTGTTGTATCTGTCTTACACACGTAAAAAAACGCGTTTACGCAGTCTGAGTATAAATCAATCAATTTCGGTACTAGATTAAAATTCCTATTATAAAATTGAATTGTGACAATATTTATGTCGTTGCGTTTGTTCCATAATACCCGATATAACGAACGTTATATGTTGTTTAGAATTAGCAAAAATGTTAAAACTTTAAAAAAAACTTTAACTTTTCAAAATTAAAATTGTTTTAACAAAATCACCGTCTTGACTTTTAACCTCTAACCTCTAACCTCGTAACCATTTACGATCGTTTGTAATATATTTTTAACGATTTACAATCTGCATATTTGAATATTTTACACATCCACTGGTCAGATCGATGGGTATACCGTTATCTGTATTTACTATTCTATACCAACAAACCGCACTGTATCATATTTGGTTAATGGTGTTATCGATACAATAATATGATGTTAGTTAGTTCAAATATTGGAATATTAAGGGGATTCGATACCGTGATTTTCTGTTTTTGTCTAACACACGACATAGTATTTTAGATGTGTTTTTTGCCAAACATACCAATTTATCTAATGAAGCGATAATAATTCTGAAAACACATTTGAATTTGTCGTCAAGTCTACTTGAAATCGACTTTCCCACATTTTTGATATTATCACCCAAATTTTTTACAATATCATATTCAATAAGAGTATTTAAAAATTCTGTTATTTTAATTTTGGAGAAGTTAAAATCAAAAAATCAAAAATGTGGGAAAGTCGATTTCAAGTAGACTTGACGACAAATTCAAATCTGTTTTCAGAAATCGTATAGCTTCAATATATCAATTGGAATGTTTGGCAAAAAACACGTCTAAAATACTATGTCACGCGTGTGTTAGACAAAAACAGAAAATCACGGTATCGAATCCCCTTAATGAGTAAATAGGTCATGAGTTATGACCTAACCATCAATCAATAGTTGATTAAAAATAAATGTAATCATTAAACCGACAACTACTACTAATGTACATTTTGTAGATAACGTATAGGCAATGGTTTAAAATGTGCCTACATATATAGGAATTTTAAAATTACATATTAACAAAACGTAATACATTTAACAACAATATTGTAACTAATAAGACGTTTCTAATGAATATTTATTAAACTAAAAAAACCGATAAGGTACCAAAATGTCTTCAAAAATGGTTTAGTTCGTGTAGAAATCATTGTGTTTAAAAAAACACTAACAATAGTAGACACATAAGACAATAATATCATCATACAATCCTAAATTTTTTTTTGTTGGTGTTAGCTACTTTTATTTGAATAACATGGTCAATTATTGTCAGGCTCAGGGCCAGATTTTAGCTTTTTAAAATGAAAATAATACGCCCATTTCAGGAAGATGACCAAAATTAGTATTTTTTTATACGAAAAATCAAGCACACTGACACAGTATTGTGAGGACCAACCATTTACTTTCGCCATGTACTTGACCAATAAAATAAATGTTAAAAAAAATATATTTTACTTAAGGAATATATTATTATTTATTATTAATCAAGTATAATATGTTATTTTCAACATAATTTAATGTCTTTAAGAAATTCTATAAGTAATAAAGATACAATATTTTATTATTCACTTAAATATCGGTCGATGTGTATTTATTAATTTTAGTCAATACTTGTATTCATTGTATATTTTACTTGTACTAAACATCTATTTGCCATTAATGACTTAATCTATATTATTTTAATAATATGTAATTATTTTGTACCTATAAGTAATTAATATGTAGTTTGAAAAATTATAATGTTAAATAATAAACGATATACCTAATTAGTAATTACTGTTCCATTTAAATTTAAAATTCAAAATTTAGTGTTAAATATTTCAGTTTAATTTTTTTTTAAGCATGATAAAAACGAAAAATAATAATTTATAAAAATAAAATGATAAAAAAAAAAATAAATTCTAAATACGGACATTTAAAGTTAATAGTCATCCACACATGACGTGCAGTACATTAATGTTGTACCTCGCCATAACGTAAACATCTTATCTCAAAATAAGCAATAATGCAATATATCCATTGAAGTATCTATTTTCTAAAATATTGAATGCATAACCTGCAAACTCACGCTAAGTCAAAACTCGTATTCACATACAACAGTACTACACACATGTTTGATAACCCCCCAAAACCCCGTCTACATACATACACATGACAAGTCATATTATCGTATTCACATTATTCATCCACCGATACATATGTACCTAAATCCAAAATATATTACATATATATGTTAGTGGCAATGTGTATAATATATTTAATATATAAAATGCCAAGGAATTCTATATAATACCTGGTGGTTTTTAAAAAAGTGTGAAGTAATTTTTTTTTACATACATTTCCTAAATATTTTGTATAATAACTAGACATTTCATAAAATGACAAACAACAAATTGGCAATCTGTAGAATAGTGATATAACCCAAATAAATAGATTTTTTTCTATCATAATTAAGACAATTATTAATTTTATTAGTGCACAAAAAAATATTTATTACAAAGTAAGTATCATTAATATTACAGAATATAATGCATAAAAATTAAAAAAAAAATAATTTGTAAACATGCAGTTATTAATTATTATTACTATTATATTACAAAGTAGGTATCATTAATATTACAGAATATAATGTATACAAATTTAAAAAAAAATAATTTGTAAATTATTATTAGAGTATATGACTACGGTGACAAAATTATCGCGTTATCTGTCGGCAATCGGAATTCTACTTTATAGATTACAGATTACAGATTACTAATGGATTTATATATTGTCAAATATCAATAGGTACTGATTATATGGATTTAATATATTACCTATAAATTGTTTGGCATTTCATATAATGCTTAGGTAATTTAAACAATTTTATAGATTGCCGGCTGTATTTGGTGTTATATAGAATTCCTAGACATTATATAAAATACCAATATTATACACATTGCCGCTAACATATACACAAGTAAACTCAAAATATAGGTATATACATACACACACGATACGTCAAGTCAAAATATCGTATACACTCGCATACACACAAATAAACTCATAATACATCTGTCATTTTACCTACACGCATGCACATGTCACCACTTATTACTTTATAAAATTACAAACATTTTTTTTCAAATAATACTGCCAGTGACTATGAACGTTGGGACAACTAGACCAGATCAATATTATTGTTATCAGTGCATTATCACTCGTTTAAAAATTATAGCATAATAAGTAATAACCACAGAAATATACTAAAGAATAAGGCATAAATGATAAATATATAATGTTATATTGTTATAATGTTAAAGGAAAACCACGATGGCTTGGTATTTTTATTTAACAAGAAAAAATATTATAAGCAGAAACAAATTAAGAATTAAAAGAATAAAAAAAAAGTCTATGAATAGGTACTTTTACTCAAATATCTACTTTAAAACACTGACTATACCTTAGTTTTTTAAATCACCTAAGAGCCTTTTCATATTTCTTATTGTAGCTTCTCGTATTCTTAATTTTTGTTTCAAGAGTCTAATTTGTTTTTTGTACTTAGTTGGAGTACTAGTTTGAACTCTTGGTGACACAGGGAAACTGATTTCTGGACGCATTTTTTTTAGAAGGAGTAATTAGTACGGGGGAACTTGTTGCTTTCGGAATCTTAGTTTCTGTCCATGACCAAACCCATGACTTGTTGATAGTAAAGGTAGTTTTTCTGTAGGTGATTGAATAGTTGTTGGCGTCGTATTTAATACGTCTGTCTGATGTAGTGGAGTTTCACTGGATATTGAAGCTGTTGATGGTATATAATTTTTTTAAATTAACTACATATGCATAAAATATGTTATTAAATGTTGATAGTAATTTACTTGATGCTACAGGTCTACCAGGAAAAACTGATGGTACTGTACTGGGTTTAGGTTTTAACTTATAACTGCCGCCTGGACTATCGACAAAATCTGTTTTTAAAAATGGATGTTACATATTCGGCTTGACTACTTCGGTATAAATCCATGACGATTTATGGCCAACAACCATATTTCCAAACGAATTCCATCGTTGATTGGAAACCTAGAGTTGTAATATATAGAATTGTATTTAGGTAACTACCTACTCTCGTTTCAAAACATAAAAAATGTTTAATTTTACATACGTAAAAAAGCGGATATCGCTACCAGTACTTCCTCGAGAATTACACTTTGGAACAACGCAACAAGTAGGCATTTTAAATGTAGGTCAAATAAAATATAATTTAATTTACCCACGACAATTATTATTATTACTTAATTTGAAGTTTGAACAATATATTAATATGCGTCTGGTTGTCGTTGAATAATAAGTGATAAACTATTCTATGTACCTATCTGATAAAGTTTGCTTATCGAGTAATGTTCTTTACATATGGAGGTGTGTTTCACTGATAACGAGAATACGGCTATCTAGTATCTATATATCTGTGGTAACAACATTAATTTATTCAGAAAAATATAAATTATTAATATTTTATGGTTTCAAATAAAGTTTTATTTATTTATTTAATTAATGTTTTTATTTCATACAAAATATGCCATATAATAATGTAATGCATTAGATTTATTTAAAAATGACTCCAGTCAAAAAAAGGGCCACTAACTACTCCTTTAAAGAAGAGAAAACTTTGCATGCTCTAGTTAAAAAAAAAAATGCTTCAACTATTGAGTGCAAAAAAACAGATGTGAACTCAAATCAACTAAAAGCAGCCTCCTATGAAAAATTAGAGATAGAATTTAACAGCGTTTGTGGTGAATGTTATCGATTACCCAAAACTCTTCTTAGTAGGTACGAAAACATAAAAAAAACGAAAAAGACGTGTTAGAGGTGGGGGACCTGCAAAACCACCTCTTTCTTGGGAATTCTTGGGAATCAATTGACTGGTTTCAATTCAGAGTTTGATGATGACACGAATCTTACCATACCGTGAACAGGAAGTGTTATAAACTTGAGTAGTAATAGTGGTATGATTTTGGCATCAAATACTGGATTGAAACCAATTGATGTGGTTTTGGATTGGTCTGAATATAGTTCAGACATGTTAAGAACTCGTCCCTCTCATGTACTTCAACCACTAGCCTCTCAACAAAATATGTTTGATGCATCTTTTAATGAAGAAACCGAAAATATAAATAGTGAAGGTAAATAAAAACCATGTTAAAAAAGTTGTTTTTCTGATTATGTTGATTTAATTGAACTATTATATACAATAATAGTATATATAGTAATTATATATTATATTATGTAACTATATAAACATTTTATTTAATTACATACTTATTAGTTGACTGCATAGCTGAAATATTGAAAGATAAAGACATTATGGACTAATATGGAGACAGTAGTAGATGATGGTAACAATTCTGGTAATCTCTCCATTCAAAATAATGTTAAAGAAAAAAAAGTAATGTTTGGTATGTATAGGTAGGTCTATGTGGGTACCTATTATGTATATATCTAATCAGTGGCGGAACTAGGGGTGTGAAGCCGGGGATTAATCCCCGGGCTTAAAATTTCAGTGAGCGTAATTTTTCTTTGAGTCTTTATTTAATGCTTGGTGATAGAAGTTAAGAAAACATTTTTATTTCATATAATTTTGTTTATGATGTTGTGGTGATCGCCGCGTTCTAGGGAATGAAAATAATAAGCTCATTTTTTATGTATAAATTATGGCCTTTTAAGTCAAATATAAAGCATTAACCCAATTAATGTTGGTTAAGTTTTAAAGTGGGTTATTCCAATCAAATTTTGAAAAATATTTTGTACCTATATGCTATTGCAGGTGGGTTAGTCCAACTCATTGAAAATTTGTTAATCACTTAAATCTGAATCTTATTTTATATATTATATCAGTATAAACTTGGTTACAGCACAGTCCACAGAATATATTAATTATTATATATTATTATGTGTTTAAAAGTCAATAAGTATGTTTGTAATTTTAATTCCAGTTATTATATTATTAAGTAATTAACTTTATAATTTCATATTTCACCAAACGTTATTAAACATATTACCCACATCTGTGCCCCAAACACATTTTTTAATTTCACATTTTGTATCTAATTGACAAGCCCTTTCTAATGAGCTATCAACGAACCACTATTTCTTTTCTATTTAGTAAAAATTATCGACATTTTAAAAATGGAGTTTATTTTCAATTCAATGGCCATACTTACTTAAATAAAAATCAAGAAAGTAATAAGTTTTAATAAATTTATCAATATAAGTTACCTTGGACAATTTCCAACTTTCAACAAGTTTCTAAACTATAATATTTATTTATTTGAATATACGGGCTAGGCCCTTTTTTTACATAGAAAAAATTGATAATAATATGGTTTACAAAGAAAGAAAAGTAAATAGAAGATGGAAGAGAAAAAAAAAAAAATAAATAACAAAAAATAATAATATTATAATGAAAATGAATGTTAATTTTATTATTGTAGAGTAAATTCCTCTATCATATACATTCATGTAAATTATAATAAGATTTAGGTACTTGATGAAATTTTAAAATTGGCCAAGGTAACTTACTTTGACAAATGTATTGAAACTTATAACTTTCTTGAATTTTAATGATTTATAAATGTTTCCAAAATGTAATTTGTAAATGTACTTAAAATAATTAAAATATCACAATATAGGTCGCACTCGAAATCGTCCATTACAAGATAAGCTTACTTTATTTTTTTTTTTTTATTAATAAAATAAGGCCTTCCTAGCCGTTGCAGGCTATCTATATCTATGGATAAAAGACAATATTAGTTTGTAGCTATTTTAAAATGATAATTATAAATATAAAATATGGACAGATGTATGCAAATTTTAAGCTAAATAAAATAAATATTCTAAATATTACAATATATGAATATGGTATAGTTACAGATACTTGAGATACTATATAAATGCAAAACTATTACAATATATATAGATTAGACTGGAGGTTGATTTTGAATAATGAGGTCATGAGGGCGGCCGCGTTTTAGACGTCGTTGGAGTGGGGGATGAATATGGAGCTTAATAATAAGCTTACTAAATGGGCCTCTTCCAAAATAAACTTAGTAAGGTTTCAGGAAAAACTAATGAGAAAAGAACTTAACCTTATGATTGAGTTAATGAATTCCAGACATAAGAACTCTTAAGAAATAGAAAAAAGAGAATCAGATCACAGAATAGAGCTTATGAATAAAATAAAAGGTTAAATAATTAATTAAAATTAAAATAATTAATAAAAATTAAATACAGTTATTAATTAGGTATAATATACAATATACCATAGTGTTAACATTTATTATGTTAAATTTGTATTAAAAATATTCTATATTATGTTAATGTTTTTTTTAAATTATTAATTTATATTTTAAAAAATCATTATATCATGTTTGTCCAGATAAAGACAAATTCAATTTTACATTGCTTCAAAGTATTATATAAAGTGTTTCTTGTAATTTAATTTGCCCCATTAGGTCGACGGTTTTGTGCCTCTGTCCCTTGTTCAAAAAATGATAGGTTGATTAGGTTTTATTTAATTACAAATAATTTTAAAATGTTCATAAGTCACTTAGAAATTTAAATGCAAATAAAAAACCAAAAGATACCCAATTTTATAGTCATATCTTTAAATTGTATAATATTATGTCGAAATTCACTCTAATGTCTTATATACAACACACATTGGTTTTACTATGAGGTATAAAATATAGAAATGTTGTACAATTTTCTTTATCCAAATCATTAATTGATTTATTTTTAACACTATAATCAAAATATTATCAAATTAACATATTGTAATCATTAGGTTTAACTTAACACGTTTGCTGCGTAAGACGCCAATTGGCGTCATTGTACATAGTTCGCATGTGCTGAATGGCGCCAATTGGCGTCATGTATCTTGTTATTTAATAGACTATAATTTGGTCAGCGTTACGATTAAACTTTTGGTTTTTTGTCCGCGTCTTCTATAAGCATTGTTTCATAATCAAGTGCAAACTGTACACTGATATTTTAATTTTTCAATTTTTAGGAAATTTTTTTTTAAAACTAGAATTTTATCAGCGTCACGACAAGTATACAAAAATATGATACGCAGTGAACGTGTTAATGACCATTCAATTAATATTGAGCTTATAAATTATAATAAACAACGATGTGGTATAAGCCAAATACAATGTATACGTTTTTGACCAGCACTCCACATTGGGCTCTTACACATTATAATAAGCTTATATGGCATATCAAAATAATTATAAATGCATAATATTTTGTTTTATATAAAAATATGCAACACTAATTTTAACACATAAATGAACAATAGGGTCATATTGTAATATAAAATTGTAATTAAGTATAATATTATGAAATGACTACAACAATATTCTAAGTATACAATTTTGTTATAGAAATAATAAATGTTAATTTGGTGATACATTAAATAAAATTGACATAGACAATAAAATACATTCTTAAATTAGCAAATTTTATCTCTTAAAAACATCCAAATCAGGAATTTTAGATAAGAAACATTAAAAATGCTTGCATTGCATGGGCGTAGCATACCCTAATTAACAAGGGGGACTTAAGTCCTTGACTATTTTTTATTAAACTATGCTAAAATTGAATGTATTGAATTACAACATTAATAGTCATTACAGTTATATACTTATATAAAAAGTTAAAATGTACATAGACAATCAATAAATATGCAATGCATGTTTATTGAATTATGACTCTGAAGTGAGTACCTACATTAAAAAAAAAACAAAACAATTTTGAAAGTTTTATTTTATTATTACATTATATATTAATATTCTTAATATAAATAAACGTAGGATTAATACAATTTACCAAGCTTTCAAATAAAAAACATTTTAATGTCCCTACTCTTATGATAAATGTAAAGTCTCGTTTAATTTGTACTACAATTTGTTCAATATACTATTTTTAATTTTACGTTATTTTAAAAGCATAGACTATTAGAATTAGATAAAAGAAGACTAACCTAACATAGGGGGACTGAACCACTAATTGGGGGGACTATAGTCCCCCCTCATCCTACGCCCATGTTGCATTGGAATTATTTTATCACATGTCATCATGTATCACATACCGTGTATTTTATATAACTCTTGGGCGTTTTCTAGATGTTGAGGGTTCTTCATCTGTTTCAACCAAAGCCCTTTTTTTAGATAAATTCTAGAATATAATTAATAAATAAATGTTAGTGTAAATAATATTAGATTTCACTATATTTGATAATTATATAAAAATGGATATATAAGATAAAAAAAGAACAAGCTTGGTACGTTTATGTACAATTAGTTAGTATAAAAGGTGCATAATTAAAGTTTTAATATAAATAAATAAGTATCATATAGATAAATCATATTATATATATGGCTATTTGGAACACAAATACTTCATATAATTATATAATAAGTAGAATATTTTATCAATTCTAATATCCAATTTAATGTAAGAACAATAAGTTGGTATTTGTTATTAAATTTTATAAATTATCAAATAGTATAGTCTGTCTCACGAAAGAACAGGACCGTTTCTCACATGTAGACTGATTTGATTGGTGAGTGGATGACCACGTGATCACGCTTACAACGAAAAGTTGGTAGGGGATGCGCGGCGGTGAACGAGTTTTGGTCGGCCGCCGGTCCCGTTCTCTCGTGAGACAGCCTATAGGTATTATATGTTAAAAACCAGTTAGTATGAAGCTTTAGTATTTTAAAAGGGTCATTTGAATTATTAATTTACCTTTACATCCCATTTTTTGTGTAAACTCTGGAGTAACTCAAGTGGATTGCCATTAGCAATAGCTGAAATTAAAAACAATTTAATTTTAATTTTAAAATAAACACATTATACTTATATTAAATAATATACACCACGTATAACAGTAATCCTTATGATTTTCATCTATAATGTATACAAATTAAGTTAAAACTAACAGTTCTGAATGCATTTTGTAATAAACAGATTAATTTTGAGTAGATGAGTATTTGAAAAAAAGTGTAAAACTAAAAATATATAATGTATTCATGTATTAGTATTAATTTTAATATTTTGTATTATCCTTGGTATTATCATTACACTATAATGTTGTAAGAAGGATACTTCTAATCAAATTTAAAAAATAAATACTAAAACTCTATTCAAGAGGAGAAGACACATGTAAATTACTTGATGAAAACACAAATACACGTGATTTCAGACTTCCTATGTTGGACTTAAACTGTCGCACCACACTGATAAGTAAACCGATTGTGAACAAAAGTAAATAAGTCCACACATAAGCACTTGTTACTGTTGTTCCTCTTTTAGAACAAAGTATAATGTATTATAAAATAATAGAACTACTACAAACTTTGTTCGGAAGGTATATCTTTTGTTGTTATGTAAACTGATGAAGACTTATTTCCACAACTTTTTTTAGTGAAACTGCTAAAATTGCGTTTGTCATAGGATGGAAAGCCATCCAAGAATTCGGCTATAGACTGAAATATATAAAAGTATAATTAAATATTGTTTTTTCTTTGGTAGATTAGAAACGAAAAGTGATTCTGAATCGTCTAATACAAGTAAATATTTAAAAAAAAAATAAATACCAAGCGCTTTGTAAAACTAATAGCTATTGGGTTGTGTATAAAATTATGATTAAAAGTATTATTTATGATGTAATAAGATACAACACTGCAGTGGCATTATAAACAATTTAAAAGTACATCTGGAGCATTATACAATTCAAAAATTTCAAGTTCGTATGTTAACTCGTCGTTGGTATCGCTATGTAAAGTCCCGCCATTGGTATTGAGTGAGCGCTGCGCTCACCTTGTTGTTTTTTCATCATTATTTATTATATAATGAACATAAAATATTGAAACCAACAACAAATTATTTATAGTTTAATCTTTTACAAAAAATGTTCTTACAATTTTTCTAGATTATAAATTGTTAACCACTAAAAATTAATTTATAATTTTTTATACATAATTATATAATAAGATAATCATTATCATTCATCTTCGCCTTAGTGGTCTGGAATATTTTGCTGATTATTATACAGTACACATATAAATGTTGGGTGCTACTTAAAAATAGGTCTCAGTTTACGAAAAAGTATTTGGTTGACCTATTGAGTGATTGAAATGCTGAATTTATGGATATTAACAACATTGCATGTCGATATCTAATCAAGAATTATTTATATAATTTTTATATTTGCAAAAGTATACTTAAATATGTGTCGATTGAAGGTATAAATAGTATCAGATGAATCAAGTAATAAATAATCACATCGCGACCACTGACGGGTTAAAAATGTTATATTAATACATTATAGTCCGCAACACTAACACATTTGACAACAACCGGGTCGTCGTGATTGTACTAATATCAAAATATACGTATGTGAGAAAATATAACAATGTGACATTATTAATTTTATATTTTACCTAACCTAACATAACCTAATCTACATATTTAATTATTTATTATTATATGTCAAATATACCATAATTTGATGTGATGTGGATTCAGATTTTGTCTACTGTTCTCTTAAACCAATCCCCAATCGAGAATTGCTACAACAGAATGTAAACCTAATATCACTTTTAACGGAGAACGTGTGGACCATATTTTGTTTAGGTATTGTGTGAGGTATGGTGTTTTATTGTACTCACCATGTCGGACGCTACGTAGTCAAAAATTTGCACCGAAAAGTGTGTGTAGAAACCGTTCTAGAAAATCGGAATTGTAGTCGGTTTGCAACAGGTAGGTAATGACGGATAATTGATGGATTACTGGTCGTAGTCTCCGTCACTGGTACGCGATTGTAAACTAATAGTTTACACTAATTACCTATTTCTAAACATTTAACATACCATTATTAATAAAAACGAAGGCTTACCATGATTCTCTAGTGTCACCAATTGCCGACATTCGGATAAGGAATTTGTAATACAAAACGGTAGTTGCAGTTTACCTATACTTTAGTCGTTTTGAATATTGTGTTTCGTATGAAAATTTGTTTGTTTACATCACGGACTACGATATCTCAGTAGTTGTTTACACGCACCATAGATGTATACAACAACTAGACGGCCTGCCGTCTCCTTCTTGTCATCGAAGTCGGCCGCCATTTACAAGGCGGGCAATGTTTACACATTGAACTATAATATGATAACTGGAATGCTCACCAAGCAGTGTTGCCCGAAAGGGAATGTTAGAAAGAGATGGAACATACTAATAGTGTTACTATCTTTGTCTTACACACGGCGCTAATATCTTAAATTAATTTTCCGCGTTCCGCGATATTATTTAAGACTTTAATTTGGTTTTTAAAACTTGGCATCTCATTATTTTATAATTTCCACAAATTCTTTATGATTAAATTAATAGAATATAAATAATTTAACGATGAGTAAATAGTTTATTAGTAGATAATTCTAATTTATAATACCTATAACAAGTATTGAAATATGCTTTTCTTGTGGACTCCTACATTTGTTATATAAATGTAAAGGAAGTTGCGAGGATTTGTATGTTGGGAATAAAATAACAAGTTGTAAATTTAAAGTTAGAAGGTTTTAATTCATAATTATAAGCATATAAAATAACAAAAATGTATCATATAGTTCAACGTGTTTACAAAACAATATTATCAGTACCTCTTCAGTTATCACAGTATATTAATTGATCAAATAAATATTTTATTAGTCTGAAATCTGAAGTCTATTAAATTCTAAATTTCAAACTAATAACTATTGCTTAATATATTATATTTTGTTACATACCTAACTTATGTAATATCCAATTACTTTATTGATTTATAGCAGAGTATGAAGAATTAATATGGATATTATTGTTTGAATGAGTTAGGTACCTACCAATTTCATTTCACCACCACCGGAAACAAATTGTATATAGGTAGGTAGGTACACTTTTTTGTCAACTATTTGTTTTATATATATAATATATATAACTTATATCACCTATTCTTTCCACATGTGTGCGTAGACTATAATATGCCTAGAGAATAATATTGTTATAATATTGTCTTATTTGTCTCAAAGATTGTTCTATGCTCAAAGTGAAAACAAATGTTATTTGTAATATTAATATATTTATTTATGTAGGTACAAAAGTTTAATTTATATATTTAACATTATACAATATTTGTATAAACTTGCAACTTGCAAGTGAACAATTTTATGAAAACAAAATAAAATAAAAACTTTAAATATAACAAACAAAAGTTTACTGGTGATAAAATAAAATAGCTTTTGTCAGTGTGTGGCGTTTATTCACCGGGTTAAGAATATTAGTAGAAAACATTTTTCCAAATGTATGTAAACGTACACTCAAATATTTTTTTTATATTCATTTGTATCAAAACCATTTTATGAGGACGGTCTAATAATGATATATTTTCAGATATTAAATCACTAAAAATATTATTATTTAATGCTAATAAGTTATTGCAACTCAAAATTATTTTCCCTTCTAAGTTAGAAATATTTAAATCTTTTAAATTATCTGTATAGAACAGTAAAATTTTTTCAGCCTCAACAATAACTTTAAAAACACTATCAGAGGGAAAGATAAGACCCCCACGGTTTTTGAAGTTAACAAATCGCAAATAAATATCTGAGGAACAATAACAATGATCAACGGATTTCCTTAAAAGAGCAGTAGTACATGAATTACATTCTATTTTTAGCATAAATTTTCTAACAATAAATCCAGAAATGTAAAATAAAACATTGTCTTAAGCATCATACATATGGGAATTTCTACAATTTAACAATTTCAACCCATTACTTGTTTCATCACCATCATCAATTAATATTAATTTCCTATTCCATTTAAAATCTAGTATAGATCCAAACGTGTTGCAGTTACCATTTGTCTGACACTTTATTGCATTTTTTATAAGAATCTTCTTCATAGCAGTTTTGAACTGTTGAACATTGGGATTGTTATTGGATCCATAAATCTGTCTTACACAAGCGAAAAAGATCTCTAGATGGTCTTGAGAAAACTTATAAGAGAGAATATACTTAAATTCTGGACACTCAGTAAATAATGATTTTGCAATAGCAAACATCGACTTGACGGCAGTTGCAAAACCAAAAATAAACGTTTTTTTGTTTGTCTTATACAAAAGCTTATCACCAATACTTAAAGAAAACAGATAATCAATTAAAGGTAATATCTTATTTTCCATTACTTGAATATTAGCTTTAAAAATAGCGGATTTAAATCCTTTGGCAAAATGGTTTCGTGCGTTTAAAAAATCAAAAAGCCTATCAATATTGCGACAATATTCTACAGTAGCCTCAGTATTAGAAAAATTAGGATAGTCAATCAATCTAAGGTATTCTAAAGCATCCGCTGTTGATGTGCTAAGAGTTTGGGCAGCAAATTTGACTTTCATCTTATTATTTTATTTATTAGAAAATTTGAAACTTAACTCTTGTTGTATAAAATGCAAATTTTCAATATAACTCCACATGATTGTTCCTTTATTTGAATTTATTTCTTTTATGTTCCCCAATGTATTTCTAACCAATTTCAACATATAACATGCGTCGGGTATAAAATAAACATTGTCATTTGTAATTGGGTGTTTAAAGCTACATTCAATATCATCATAGTTATCGACATCTAAATTACAACCTAGTTTTTTCATAGTTGAAAAATTTGTAGCACAGCCATGACATGTTATAGACCAAACTTTTAAACCAGCTGCATGGGTTAAAGAAAGAGCACATTTAATGAGTTCAGCCTGAGCTGTTGCTCCTATTTTGTTTTGTACCTACCTATAGGTATCTTCCATTTGTCATTACAATTTGTTAGCATGAAAACAAGAGCTTCAGTGGCAGTATTATTTGTAAATTCGATATCTAAATTATTACCAAAATCACAATAACCTATAAACTGTTTAATTTGTTATGTAAGAAAACTGAGATAATGGAGCATACAAAATAAAGGTAATCGGAAAAAAAATCCCCAGCTACAATATTACTCACAATCACATGCAAATGGTTGAACAAATATATTTTGAACGTTAATTAGTATCTATAATTAATATTTAATGACAAATACGTATATTATATTCTATTATAATAAAATATATTAGGTATATTATATTGTTAAAAAAATTATAAAAATATTGAGAATGATCGATACGTCAATTAATAATACAGTTAAAAACATAGGTAGTATACAAAAATATTATACAAAATATAGGTACCTATAATTATTATTATTATCATTATTATTACCACCTATATCTCGTATAAAATGTTTGTATACCTACTATATTATACCTACTAAATATTTGTATATGTTATGTTTTTACTGTGAGTATGTGACTATAATACATTCAAAATTCAATAAATTATTGTTTGAGAATTATTTTATTATGAATATAGTTATTATTATTATTATTGATATTACTATTTACCACCTATATTTTAAATTTTTTATAATATTTTTATATACCTACTATGTTTTGAACTGTATTCTTTGACGTATCAATCACTCGAAATATTTTTATACTTTATATATTTGTGTACACTACTTACACCTCCACAAAAATCATAAGTAATATTTGAAGTTTAGAAAACGTAATATTTTATTTCAAGGATTTAATTTTTACAGAATTATACCAACATAAAATGTGTATTAATATAGTAATATAAAATGTTGTTCTTAATTTTTAAAAAATTATTTATAATTATAGTTATTTATTTATATTATTTTTATTACCTATATTTTGTATAATATTTTTGTATAGGTACTATGTGTTTAACTGTATTATTTGACGTATCGATAATTCAAAATATTTTTATATTCTACACCTATTTGTAACGTTGTTAAGTTAGTTATTTAATTTGAATTACACATAATATATTATCGTAATTTAAAACAAAAACGTTTAAAAAATATTTGTTACTAATTAACGTTTAAAAAATATTTGTTCAACCATTTGCATGAGGTTGTGAGTAGTATTGTAGTCAGGGGATTTTTTTTCCAGGATTCGAAATAAACGACTATCCGTGACAAAGTTTGGATAAGAACTGAGAAGTAAGTTTGTTTTGTTTTGTATTTGGATTTACGACAGAAAGCCCAAAAAAATATACCTACTTAACACAAAATTAAAATGGATTTATGCAATGCTACACAAAAATGAAATGAAATATTATAATTATTTAAGCTTTAAAGTAATGATTTTCGTTCTGCAACCATTTAAGTTTTAGGCCTTTAAAACTCGGTGGAATACGCTGTGTATAGCCCCTGGATAGGTTAGGGGTATACCCCCTGTGTATAGGCCTTGGACTCTTCAATAAATACTTATGTCATGGTGACCCGTTTCTTTCTGAACCATACATTTTCCAAATAAGTAATAGGTAACCTCATACGTATCAAAATTCAAAGGTATCAAGTAAGATATTCGTAGGTACCTTGTACCTACCTATGTAGAGATTTATGAGAATGGCAAAATATAGGGATTCGTATTTTATATACTAATATAATAATAATTAATATTATTATGTAGGTTCAATTTTGGATTATAATGATATTAGATTCTGAGTGGAACGATGAATGTATTGATTTTAGTATTTTACAATGATGTGTGTTTTTTTTTTTTTTGTGTGTCTATGTACACGATAAGTAGTCGAAATAATGCTTCGATTTTCAACTTAAATATCTTGTTCGATTGGAAAGTGAATATCGTGGGTGCATTGGAGAGGTCAAAATTTAAAATTCAAAGTAATTTTCTAAAGCGCCGAGAAAAACAAAAAGTGTAAAAATTTAATTCAAGGCTCCTGATATATTGTTACGATATCAGTTGAAAAATATTAAAAATACATAGGCACAATTTTTTTTTATAAGAATTTAAAGATCGAATTTTGACAAAATTTATCAAATTTAAAATTGAATAATTATTTTGTAGTTAAAAATGTATAAAATGTTCAACTTTTATATCTAAGGATTGAAAATTTAAAACAAAATTCCACGTAAGTAGTTTATTCGGTTACCAAAAAATCTAAAAAATACAAAAGCACAGTTTATTTTTATTGTCATTTTAAGTACAAATTTGGACGAAATTACATATTAAAAATCTAGAATAACTTTACTATTTTAGTTATTTTGTTGTGATTGTATAATATTATTCGTGCTTACTTGAAACTTCTAAAGTCTACTATTATATATCTATGTCTGTCTACAGGCACGGCACTAGAATTTTTTTCCAGGGGGGGGCAGAGTGGGGCAAATATTTTTTTTTACATGGGCTAAAATTGTTTCAACAAATGCTGAGGTTATTTAAATTTTAAATGAAATATAAATATTTTCGTATCATATAACATAATATAGCTATTAGCTATATAGTACTTACGTTTTATATTGTATGCTCTAAACGTCTAAACATATAATATTTACAAACTTTTGAATAGTTAAAAATGTTTTAAGAATAATATCAAATATTTTTTTTGTACCTTTTGTAATATGTAAGAAAATGTTTAATCACAGACCTAAGACCTTCAACAACTATATTCATAATGATAACATGATTTACAAAAATAATAATTTCTTTATGAGCTAAATATTGATTTTTTATACAATATCTGTTTATGCACCATACAGTAAATGATTCAAAATCTTATAATATTGAAAAAGTTAACAAAAATGTATACAATTGCACTGATATCAGTAGGAATACAATTTGTTTTAAATAAAAACTTTTGATTACCTACCTACCTTATATTTAACTAGTAGGTACATTTTAAATTTTTAATTCAATACATTTTTAAATTGGTATTTGCATAGTAGTGTATGTATTTACTATTGAAGTACCTACTTTATATTTTTTGTTAAATTTTTGAGGTTAAAATAGTTCATATATACAAGGTTATATACAAGGCATATATACATTGGCATGTATACATTAAAACATAGATACTTTAAGAAATCCTTTTTTATTAATTATCAAGTAATATGTGAACTAATTACCATGACAAATAAGATTATAAAAATAACAAAATAAGAAAATTGAATAAATTATTTAATTTTAAATAAGAAATTTGTCATGCTAATTACTAAACTAATATAAGTAGGTAGGTACGAATACCAACTCCTTACACAATAGTATTGTGTTAATCAAACATAAAAACATTTAAAATAATAAGTCATCTAAAAATATTTTTAACTGTATACAACAAACATTAATTGTATCGTACATATTTTTCAGTGGAGGGGCTGGCGAGGGGGCTGATCTGTTTTCTGGGGGGGCTAGAGCCCCACCTTGCCCCACCCCCTTGGCGCCGTGCCTCATCTATGATAGCATCAGGTTTGTTGTTGTTGTATAACGCGTTATAAGTACCTAATGGATAATGTGATATGATTAATTTGGAATTTATTATAGGTCAATTTTTTTTAATACCATAGATAAGTATGTAATATGTCTAGATAACAGACTGACATACAGCGTACAGCCTCCGCTCAGAATCGTTTTTCTTATACAATTATATTATATCGTTGAATTCAAATTTAATACCATCCATTATACAGTGACCCACTTGTCACCTACTGTACAGCAGAGCATCTTTTTATTTTTAAGATTAATCATAGCGACTTTTGTCATTTGAAATAGCATTAAAAATAAAATATAACACCAGTTAAAATTACTATATAATACAACAAAGTTTAATTAAGGTATAAAATGATTTATAAGTACATAAATCTACGTCAAGATTAAGTTATACCCTAAAAACTATTTTTTTCCAGCATTTCATGATAACTGCAAAAAATACGTATATTATTTAATAATAATAAAATATCGAATAATAACATAATTCACGAGTAGTTGTTGTAACTAATGTTGGAAGTTGGAACCCACATTTACATTCAACTAATAGCAAGCCGTGTACACTAGTTATAACATGATTTTATAACACGTAATAATCTACTTTTTGTGGTAAACGCCAAACGGTAGTGATAGTGAACAGTAGTGAATATTATTTGAATATTATTTATTGAATATTATTTCTAGTGCTCAACCATTCAAGTTACCCAAATGTGGCAAGTAAACCCATTTTACGGTAGTAGGTACCAGGGTCACAGGACGGTGATAGTCGCTTGTTCGGTTTCGGTGGCGGCGGCGGTAATGCGGTCCGTGTCGCTGGTGTCGACGACGGCTCGTTCGGCTGTGACATTCGCTGCAGCTCGTTCGATGGTCATCACGATCACAGCATACGCGAAATAATGCTTCGATTTTCAACTTCAATATCTTGTTCGATTGGAAAGTGAATATCGTTGGTGCATTGGAGAGGTCAAAATTTAAAATTCAAAGTAATTTTCAAAAGCGCCAAGCAAAACAAAAAGTGTAAAAATGTAATACAAGGTTCCTGATATATTGTTACGATATCAAATGAAAAATATTAAAAATACATAGGCACAATTTTTTTTTATAAGCATTTTAATATCGATTTTTGACAAAATTTATCAAATTTAAAATTGAATAATTATTTTGTAGTTAAAAATTTATAAAATGTTCAACTTTTATGTCTAAGGATTGAAAATTTAAAACAAAATTCCACGTAAGTAGTTTATTCTGTTACCAAAAAATCTAAAAAATACATAAGCAAATTTCATTTTTGTAGTCATTTTAAGTTCAAATTTGGACGAAATTACATAATAAAGTACACTATTATATATCTATGATAGTATCACGGTTTTTGTTGATGTATAACGCATTTTAAGTACCTAACGAATATTGTGTTAGATTAATTTGGAATTTATTATAGGTACCTATTATATTTCAATTTTTTTAAAACCATAGATATGTGTATAATATGTCTTATTCCCTCTGACATTCCGTCTCCGCTCAGAATTGTTTTTCTTATACAATGATATTATATCGTTGAATTCAAATTTAATACCATCCATTATACAGTGACCCACTTGTAACCTACTGTACGGCAGAGCACCTTTTTTTTTTAATTTTATAATACCATATTATGTAATAATACCTAATTATACACGAGACATTTATTTTTCCCTTCTACTTTTTTTTTTGTTTTGAATAAAACCCATAGTAGGTAAATACCATAGAATATATACAGGGTGATTCAAAATTTATGAAACAGACATTTTATCACATTGATATTCAAAATGAGGAAAAATGTATAATTTCATATCAATCAAATGTTGTTTCAATCAAATTGTACTTAGATGATTCTAAAATCAAAAATCGTTCGTATTATACATTTTTCTCTATTTTTAATATTAATGTCATAAAATGTTTGTAACATAAATTTTCAATCACTCTGTATGCTATTTTCGAATAATTTTTCTATTTTTGTTTTAGACGCGCTTTCAATAAGTATAAACGAATTACAGAACTATAAATTTATAATAATATATTTTTAAGTATTGTTGTTGACAATAATTATCTATCGAGATTTCAATGCAAGTGTAATCTTGTGTCTTAATATTATTATTAACACTTTAACATTATATTACTTATAATATTATAATTGTTAATATATTATAATATTTATTTAAATATCACGGTCTTCGATTATGGAACACGACAGATACAATAATAATGAGAAAAAAAATTGAGTCACTTAAGTATTTAAAAATTATATTAGGTATTATATTAATTATTACTTACAATTTATAAGTTATCAATGTTATGCCTATATTTACTTACATTTTATTTAGTGAATAATTATTTTAACAATATGTAATTACAATTTATTTATCAGATATTTATATTAATTCAGATATTTATTAGATAGGTAGGTACCTATGTATTAAAAACGAATTTGTATGAATTAAATAATCATTGAATTCTCATATTTATCCCAAATAGTAACAATATTAAAGACCGGATTTATATGCATTTTAAATTGTAAAATATGCTTGCAAACATTCACAAATAAATCTAAATATGCAAGAAAAAAAATACAAAATATGCAAATTAAAATTTTTATTCAGTTTTGTACATTATTTTAATTTTGGAGTGTTAATTACCTGCCCATTTATTAATTATATTACAATTTTTATAAACAAAAAATAGCACAGATAATATGTAGAACAGAAATGTAATTTGTTAAATTGTAATTTCATTTTTAATCATTCATACCAAGTAGATAGGTAAAATTCTAGTAAGTGTCTACAATAAATTCAATTTTCTAAAACATGAAATATTTGATATATAAACGTGTCAATAATTTTTTTTTTTTTTTTGCTCAACACCTATTTGGATTGTTAGGTAGTACAAGTGTATTTATAAGCTTTTTTGTTAAAATATTCAAAAATATGCAGACCATGCCATAAGGTCAGAATATACATAAATATGCAGTATGCAATTTTGATATTTATCAATCAAGTAATGATTTGTGAACAACCCTTGACTGCGTATTTATGATGTAGAAAATGCAAAATGCATTTTATGCAAAATCCGGTATTTAGTATTAAGTATTGAAATTAAAAATTTAATTGAAAAAAATGCAATGAATAAAAGACAATAAATGGTCTGGAAATTAATGAATCTATTCTTTATTCATTAGTTATTACAAGTGTAGTAAACGAACCCTACATTTTTGCACGGGTACGATGAAAAATATGCCAGATGGATCATTAATTTTGATGCAACCACACACCAATCATGAGCGCGAAAACAATGATATGCAGTTAGTAGATGATCTTAAAAATATTTTTAAAAGAAGAGCGGCTTTAGACAGTGTACAGTTGAAGTTAATTTACGATGAAGAGTGCCGAAGATAAATTAAATATATTATGTTTTTTGGAACACAAAACTACAATTATTTATTATATTGATAATAATTATATATCTTTTAGACATCCGTTGGCAGCAAACTTGTATCCATGGTCTACTACTGAATCGCTAATGCGCTTAGCTCGTAGATCATCTATGTCTCCTTTACCAGACAATTTACTGCAACTGGCAATCGTTTTTGAAAATGGACAGTTACCAAGATATAACTGCTGTGTTGCTGAAGTTATAATTGACGTATAAAGGGACGAGGGGAGTGAAAATGGTGTGCAAAAAGTTAAAAAAAATTAAGTTTACAAATAGAGAACCCACCTTTAACATTTGCCCAATTTTGAAATAGTATTAAAAAATATTATCTAAATCTATATTTATAGATATTTCTATGGCGAATAATCATATTTTATAGCTCATTCATATATTATTCACTCATTTTTATCCTTAACCATGTTTTTTAATCCATGCAATTAATGTAAAGTACAATGAACAAGCATAATAACTGTCTCATTTGTAATAATTGCTAAAGCACTTTCAAAATAACAAGTTATAAAGTTGACAACAGTCAATAAACAGATCGGTAACACAAACAATAAATATTAAACATAGACATTGTGATTTGTACTAATTTAGTATTTACAATCACTATGACTGTGTAATGACAACCTAAACTTATAACCACCATTAATAATAGTTTATATTTAGCTACCAAGTACCAACTCCAATTTAAAACTGGAATTTGAATGTAGTTAGTGTTTAGTTCATTTTTTGGTTTATACTGTTGCAGATCAAATTTTCTGAAATGTTCTGTGTATTACTATAATATAGTTTGACCATACGTCCCGTATTATACGGAATTGTCCCGTTTTTCCACTTTGTATCCCGTTGTCCCGACAAAAGTTATACGGGACGCATTTTGTCCCGTATTTCAAGTAGGTCCCGTATTAATCCCGTTTTTCTCTTTATTGTTAATTTATAATTTTATAATTTTTTTTTTTTTTATTCTACGATATTTTTGTATCACAATATTCAATAGAACATCTAATCTATACTTATCAGCATTATTTTTAGATTCTTGTCTTAACAATAAATTATTATAATTGCTGCGGGTTGATATAATAGAGAACTAATAATGTCACATCATTATCGACAACGTTAAACCGACGATTATAAATACTAATGATATAACGATAACGTACAAAATGTTATTAATATTATTATATTGATGTGTGACGTCATCTACTAAATAAGTACAATTCCATCCGCCACAAGTTTGTTGTCAAATATAATGTCTATTCTAAACTTCCTTACAACAAATATTTTATCGCTTTTAAATGATTTAAAAAACAATAATACCTATTTATAATGAAAACTCATTCAAAAAAGTACTGATCTATTTTATAATACTTTTTTATCTTACGTAGAAACATGGGGTTGCCACTTTGACCAGTTGAAAATATTTCGCTGGGTCCAACTAATAAACTGTCCTACTTGGGAAAATGTTCAAAAATGTATTAAATTTCTTATGGAAAACAACCGAAATAATTCTAACATAAAATTAGATGAAGATAATTTATTTGATGAATTCAGTCATATAGAACAAATTTTTAAATCACGAATTCATGAATGGCAAAAAAAATCCGCTAAAGTAGAAGTTAAGTGGTGTGAAATATTTGAATACACTAGATAAAGCTCATAACATTGATACAACTAACATATCAAAAATAGTAGAATATTCTTTGGCAATTCCTGGTACAAATGCTGCAGTAGATCGGATTTTTTCAACCATTAATTTGTTGTGGACAGATGAAAAAAATCGATTTTTGGTTGAGACTATCAAATCAATTATAATCGTAAAAACACACTTTAAAAACTTATCTTGTAATGAGTTTTATAATATTCTATTAAAAGAAACTAGGTTACTTGATGAAATCGGTTCAGCACAAAAGTATACAAAAACATCAAAAGAAGAAATTTACGTGCCATCGTCATCAAAATAATTTTTTTTTGGACTTTTTTGTACATATTATACTTATTAATATTTTATTTGTATTTAAAAACTATTATACAGCATACATTTAATTTGTTTTTTTTTATATTAATATAGGTATTTAGTTAAAATTAGAATTTCCTTTTTTTTTTTAGTTAAGTAACTAAAGTGTCCCGTATTTTTATTTTATTTTTATGGTCACCCTACTATAATACATTGTTTTATGAATTTCAAATAGTTAGTTTAAGAATATATTAACTATTTTTGGCACAGTTTGATATAAACTTAATTTAGTTTTAAAGTAAAAATTTAATTAAACTTTTTTTTTATTATTATACAACTACTAATATTGTTTTTTTTATTTTTATTTTTTAACCTAAATTTTGTATTTACCATATTTTATTATTTTGAAAAGTCATAGAAAAATTTTTATATAACAAACCAAAGTACCAACTAGATAAAATTTCTTACCAGAACCCACTTTCAAAGTTGAAAAACAAAGCATTTTTCATGCCTCAACAGAACAAGAAACATGATCTGGTTTTGCGTAAACTTCCCATTTTTCCGTTTCATAATTGTTTCCTCAATTTCTTTTTTTTTGGAACTTATTTAAAAATGTTTTTTTATTACATATAGGTTAGGTTAAATCTACTAAATATATACTAAATATACTAAATCAACTCAATTTAAAAATCGTATTTGATTTTATTTACTGCTATCTTATTTTTTATAAAATTTTATTTTTTTCCGACATAGCGTGGACCGCGATGTCAAACATATTCCCTAATATAACTGTCAAGTTTAAGTTCATTACATTTTTATTTAAATGTATTCATGTAGTTATGTTACAGTTACGTTTAGTTGGTAACAACAAAAAATATTGTGCTCGTCTTTGTTTATTCTAAATTCACTACATTTAAAATTACCAATTATAATGCACTTTATAACTTCACGGGTTTCAAAACCTTCAGTAATATTCACACTCATGATTCTTGCTGTTCAGTTAGGAAAATTAATCAAACTGAGATACTGAGTCTGAGTGATTGAACCAATAAAGAAATCTGTAGTTCTATATATTGTACTATATATTGTATATTATATTGATACAGGTATACCTAATAAAGATATATTGTCTAATATTGTATATTATGTATTATATTTACCCAAACGTTCTCTGATTGGACTGATTTACCTGGTAAAATTGTTGATGAATTTAAAATGATAAGTATGCACTCACAATATTTTTTGTGGGGAGGGCAACTGCCATACCCTCCCCCCCACAAATACCGCCCTATGAAGGTTGGGAATTAATGAGTTAAAACGTTAAGTTAATTAACTACTTAGTTACTTTTTTTAATTAAACTATTAACTTAATAAGTTAATTTTTGTTAAGATGAACATGTTAACTTCAAGTTAATTTTATTTCTAAAGTATCTAAATTAAGTTAATATTCATCCGAAGAATAATGCAAATTTTTAAATGGGTTTTTACTTTCATGTATAATTTTAAAATTCCCCAGTAATCTTCTTGAGCATAAAGAAAAATTATCTATTAAACCATATAATTATGTGTCTGGAATTTTTTATTTTTGCAAATTAGCAAATTTTAACTATACACTGAGCATTAAGTTACTTACTTTTTTTTCAAAATTAACTTTTAACTTAATGATTTAACGAAAAAAATTAAGAGTAACTTTTAACTTAACTTAACGAGTTAAAAAAAATCTTCAACTTGTCCAGCCTTGCCGCCTATATTGTATTCTGTAATTGTATAGTATTACTGAGTATTAGTATTAAATTGTTTTTTTTACATTATACCCAATAACAGCAAAAATCCCAAAGTCTGGAGGACAGGAAATAAGCTGAAAGGCGCATTAAGAGTATTCCATACTACACTTAGTGGAAATTGACTGAAAGATGTTTAAAATAATTATTATAACATACATAGGTGATAAAACTACAAGTTCCAAAGAAGCTTGCTTGCATACTTTTATGTAGAACAGTTTTTTTTAACGTTTATTAAATAAAAAGTTGTGAGATTAATTTGATAATAATAAAATATTTTTTTTTGTTTTATACGTTAATTATAAAATTAATCTTTATACTGTAGTTAAAAAAAAATATAGGTATGTACCTATACACATATAAAAAAAAAATGTGTATGTTTTATTAATATCAAGCGTTGTTGGTTGTTAATAGTCAAACTCATAAAATGGTATTAAAGAAACAATAATAATAATAATTCTATATGCATGGCCAGAAAGTGGTCTCACCACAACTGGCACTTCTTGGCGGGGTTCATGTTGGAGCCTAGAGGACACCGGAAGTCGTCGCTGAAGTCTTTCATGTTGGAGAACGGGCCGTTGATCCGGAAACGGATGGGCGAATGTTTGTCGTATTGGATCACATACTCTTCATAAATCATATGATTCTTGGCACACCACGCATTGGCATTGCTCAACCAGAACATCTGCTGAGGCGTGTACTCTTGGAGCCCGGGCAATCGCGGTTCGACTCCATGTCCTTTGGCCCACTCTCTGTACGCGTTATATGCTATGCTCAAGCCTCCATTGTCGGAGATATTTTCACCCAGTGTTTGAGTGCCGTTCACCTGTGGAAAATAAGTCGTTAGGATAGGTCGGATTAAATAAGGAAATAGCATGATGTGGAGGGGATGAGAAATGAGTATTACCCTAATATTTTAGATTATTGAAAAATATTTATAAATTCTATTTTAAAGAAAACTGATCGGTGTTTTTTGAAATATCAATTACACCTCAACTACGATGTGATAAAAATATGTTATATGCGAGTTGACTGGTTGACAGGATACGCGTGGTCGTGTGGGGACGTTTTCAACTTATATATAAATATATTGTTGAATGGGATTATTGAGTGATACCAATGACAATAAGAAAAATATTGAAATGTTAATTTATATACTTTGAATATAAATGTATAACTGAAAATTTGTTCTATCAATAAGAAAATTAGTGCTTCTGTTGTTTGTTAGAACGACATGCCGTATTATGGCTAGTCAGTGGTACATGGGCACATATTTTATAATGGGCGTACAATAGTTACCCCCTGAAGTCAAAATTTCAATATTTTTTATACGAATTGCCTCCCGACTATATAGGTACGAGTTTTCTCCTGACGTACCCTACATTTTATCTTAAACTAAAATTGTATACCTAGTACTAGTTGCCTCCTAAATGGCAGGTAATAAATATATAAGTTGTTCCAAACATTTACAAACATCATGACGTATCAAAATAAATTTGTTATTTCAAAGTAGTAATTTATGACTTTTGTTATATTTGATATTTGATACGATTATATCTATACGACTAAAAATTAAGATTATATACTCTTTTGCGTAATGATAATATATAAATATATAATGCAGACCAGACCTGAGCCAGGTGGCAGACTATAGTCTATAGTAAGTAATATACATGTTCGAGTAACGTTTAGTTGATTTAAAACACTCTTTGTACGATATTATTTTTACAAATATTATTAACTGGTTTTAAATTGTTGCTCTAGTTTTTAGAATGAATCAATGTGGATCAACATGGTTAGTGAAAAGTGCAAACGTGTTAAAATAATTTAACTAATTTAATTTTTATATTCAAAAACGCTTTAATATAATTATATACTAAATCGAAATATTATAATACAATTTTAAATATAATATTTTTAATTATAATAATACAACCAAATGTTTATTATTTAATACCTACATAATATAATAGAATGTTAAGTATATTATGTTATGTTAATAAGCTCATCTATTTGTGTGGAATTTTTTAGTGAAGTTTATGAAACACTACCTACTTAATTATATAGGATAGTAGTGTGGAAATTCTTGGGCGGCAACTAGTATGATATACCTACTTGTATGAACCATGAACGCCGTACGGTATAATATAATATCATGTGGGTACGTACTAAAACAAAATCATAATTGTTTTTTTTTAAATGAATTGTTGCATGTATATTCATTCATATATTGTAATTTGTATGTTCTAATTTTGAATTTATTAAAATATATCATTTTAATAACTCGCATAGGACATGTCAATGTCAAGAATATTGATGACTGTTTATTGCATTGTGCCGATGCGGCTGACCAACCTATATACTTACACACAAGGGGAATTTTTAATAGTTCCATTCAAACACAAGATAAATACATTTTTTATTTTTTTTTTTACATTTTAGAACACATAATTAAAATCCATAGATATATTTGCATTGTGCAATTACTATTCGATTGTTCAGTGAAATGGAAGAACCATCATTAGAAGTTTAGGAATCTAGATATACAAAATTCGGGAAAAATTAAGTTTATAATAAATGAAAATGTAACTTCGAAATTAAACCACGTAAGAACGTAGTCTCAAGAAATTTATTTTATCAAACACACCTTGAGACCGACTTCATGAGAAGTATAATTTCCATATTGACTGATGAAACACTTTTCCTTCTCCAAAAAGCGTTTATTCGTCTCCTCCGTCCACCAGTCTACCATGTTGCCATTCATATCATAGTTTCGGCCGTCGTTATGAAAACCTTGAATGATCTCGTGACCAATTACAAATCCAATTCCACCGTAAATCATGTATTGGGGACGATCGTTAGAGAAGAACGCACCTTGCAAGATATCAGTAGGAAGTACTGGAAAATTAAAATAATTTATAGTATAATAAATATGGTTGTAATAATGCCTATGTTTATGTACTAATATTATATTATAGGTCTAGTGTTCAAAAAATTATTTTTCAAATATATTCCATAATTCATAAAGTATCTATAACATAATGTGTTTAAAAAAAAAATTCACATTTAATAATATAAACAATTTGTTTTTAATTTCGAATATATTAAGTATTGAGGTTAGGTGCACCCAAAAAATTGTGGTTGGGCCAAGAAAATAATTGTTTGATGACTTCTAAATTTTATTAACTTATTTAAAATTATAAATCATTATTTTGATTGCCTGATTTTTATTTAAAAGATTAATTTTAATTTTCACCAACATAACAACACAATAAATTGACACTGAATAATTAATAACTAGGTATAGTATAATATAGGTCTTTATATTATTCCAATATTACTCACTGATTTTGTTTTCCATTTGTATATAGAACCCATTTGCCACTGTTAGGAAACCATTGCGATACAAATACTCCGATATATTAACAGGTTTCCTTAAACTCGAAAACTCATAGTCAATGCTAAATTTAGTCAAATTCAATAGTGATGTATAAAAGTCTTGATCGTTGACTTCCAACTAAGAAAAAAAAAAACGTAGGTAATTAGTAAGTAGTAACTAAATACTCATTTATCATAACAAGAACCATTTTTTAAATGTTTTTATCATGTATTGTATTCTAAGAAGCTCCAATGCGCTATAGTATGGACGTATGGAAATAATTACATTTTCATAATACGCAATCAACTTGCTATCATCCAATAGCTCAAAGTATTGAGTGTGTGTCATTGCCTTTGCTTTGTCCATCGCTTTTTTCCTAAATTAAATAACAAAAATAATAATGTCGTAATGTTTTTTATTGTCTCATCTCAGTATCAATTTTTACTTTGTGCTGTATCAACCGAGAGTCAATCTTTACCTTGTTTTATCGTCCATCCACACATTTGACGATATTGTTTTATACAGTTCCTCCTTGATACCATTCACCATTTCTATAACATTCTGTTCAGCGTTTTCGTTGAAAAACCGTCTAACGTATAAAGACTGAATAGCTAAATTAAACAATTCAGTACTGATATCTGCGCATTCCTTCCATCGGGGTTGGGTTATATCATATTCCCTGTACATAATCTGTCTTTTTCTCAGTTCTTCTGTAAGATAACTTAAGGAATCAACCACATATCTCCAAATCACGTAATTCGCTTGGACCCTGCCAATAAAATCATATTAAGTTCTACAGTGTTTTTAAGGATATAGATAATTAAAAAAAAAATTTATATGAATTAAAAAAATTATTTAATACCTACGTAATCAAAAAAAAATATATAATTGAAAATTAATTTATATCATGTTGACATAGATTGGCTATTACTGCTTTTATTATAAAATCAAATGAGGTTAATATTTTGTAGAAAATGATACAATTAGCTTTTTAATTTATTAAAGTTATGTATTTGTTTTATAATATTTACCTTTTGGGCGTTTTGCTGAGTAGTAGTTCCAAGCCCGAAAAGTATTTCAGCGAAGTCACACTTATAATATCGTCCTGTCTTATGAATTGGTTCAACATTTTGTTAAGAAAGTCTTGCCATGGTATGCTTGGGAACTTTTGTTGTAGATCGGCGATTTTCATCGGCTTGTATAGCTTATCTATGTCCTGTTGCTCTTCCTCTGGCATCGATATCTTGGCTAATTCTATCTCAAAGTCCAATGACTCCCTCAGCTCCTCGGTGGCCCTCGGCCGGTCAGCTCCAAACAGCACCGCGATGTCCACCATGTACCTGTAGTATTTGTCCACGGAATCGTGATCTTTGCCCTGAATCAGGTACTCCCGTGGATGTCCCAAGAACGCAGGGCGCAGCTGAAATGTCGGTTGATTTGGGCCATAGTTAACTTAACTGATTATTTGGTAACCACTTCTGATGATAAAATCTTCATATGGTAAGCTCTACCATGTCAACATTTATGTTTAACCCAAGGCAAATAATAGGTATGTACGCTCAACCTAGTTGTTTTGAATTGTATTGCTACATTGTGAATTGGAAACATTGAGATATTGATTATAACTATAAATATAATATCTATTTATTACCATTTTGTCTTAGAAAAAACTGCATATATTAAAAAATTATATATTATAAAGACCAAAGACGGTTCGGCAACATCGATTTTGGTTTTTGAAGTAACTCTAAAACAAATGACCGTAAAAACATGTCATTTTCACTGGTTGCTTATATAACCATTTTCTATACAAGATAACATATTTTTCAAAAAAAGTTGATTTGTTTTAACTGTATACAGACATTTTCAGTTTCAAATTTTCTTAGTTTTTTTTCGATGAATGTCAATAAAACTTTATTTGTTGGGTGAAAAATCATGAACATTTAATACAATTCTAATAATATATTGTTACAATGATATTTGAAAAATATTAAAAACTCATATTCCAGCTCAATATTTAGAAGCGTGGTTGAATTAACTTGGTTCATTATTCAATTCATATAAAATAAGAAAAATATCAAACACATTAAGTTAAAAATTTGATCACCTATATTTTTGTATAGATACAACTATTTTTAATGATAATTGAGAATAACAATTTTTTGTCATCAGGAGACAAGAACAAACGATTCTGCCTAGTTTCAAAACTATCCAATTTATTTAGCTTAGGTGCCCGTTTTTAAAATTTTCCGCAAATGTTATACTTTTTCACTAGGTAAGGTTTTATAGGGTGTATTATATCGCAAAAATGACTTCAGTGGAATAATTCTCAGGCCTTGTAGAATTGTTGGATTTTGATAACTATTTTTTTACCTGTAAGAAGAGGATTTCCTAAGGCCGCATCGAATGTTTTTATTTTATTCCAAAGAATGGTATAATTTAATTTATAAAAAAATTCGCTCTGCTGTACATTTAGTTTCAAATGGGTTACTGTATAATGGAAGGTATTAAATTTGAATTCAATGATATACTATCATTGTATGAGAAAACTATTCTGAGCGAAAACGGTCAGTCAGCCTATGATATTACTATGTATATTTGATGATATTAAGGCGAATAAAGTAATTTATTTATAACCTATTTACGTGGAATCTTGTTTTAAATTTTCAATCTTTAGCTATAAAAGTTGAACATTTTATAAATTTTTAACTACAAAATTATTATTAAATTTTAAATATGATAAATTTTGTCAAAATTCGAACTTTAAATGCTTATAAAAAAAAATTGTGCTAATTTATTTTTAATATTTTGCAATTGCTATTGTGACAATATATTAGGAGCTTTCTATTAAATTTTCAAGTATTTTTACTCATCAAATAAAATTTTATTGATATTTATAGAAAAAAAAACTAAAAAAAAAATGGAAACTGAAAATGTCAGTAAACAGCTCAACATAAATCAAAATATTTGGAAAATGTTATGGTGAATAGAAAATGTGAATATGTTTATAAATTATAATTCAGGACTCTACGCATAATGACAACAGGTACTTAATTGTTTTGGTTTTATGTTGAATATAATGATATTGTATTAATGTAAAATAACTCACATACAGAATATTTGCTTTCAATGCTTTAATATCTGGTCCAACCGATAAATCCAAGATGTACATTATTAATTGTACCTTGTTTGGCAAAATTAACTTGTACATACTGTCCATCCACGTGAACTTCGATTCGTTCCATTTCTCGGCTTCCAGCACCGGCCATCCACCGATGCTTTTCAACATTTCCTTGATCGGTCTCAAGCCTAACTTTTCGATTCGTTCTGTTAACATAAAGTTTATAGTGAATTATTTGATACGAGTATATCGATGTTTCCAAATCACGTTCTAAAATCGTGATCTAGCTCGAATTGTGTATGTGGTATTTTTGAGACAGAACTTATTAAATACGAATGACATATTTAATATTCAGTAAAAACGATCATCAGATGTGACAAGTTTACTAAAAAAATACGAATTAGAAGTAAGAAATAAAAAGCAGTACAAAGTTTGTAAAAATTCAAAGAAAATAAATGTAGGCCAAAGGTCACAAATCTGCTGTACAGTAGTATAGTATTTACTGTATGTAATAGCAGTATTAGTATAGTAGTATTTCTATAAATATTTCAGTTCGATGACCTTGTATTGAAAAGGGGTTTTCACTGAATGAAATATTCTATCCGAATATGTAAAAAAAAGTCGATGTTGGCATTTAAAAAAAGGTAAGTTGTATCGCGCATGCGTGTATCGAAAAATTAAAAATTTGAAATTTATCTGAAAATGTGTATTTAAGTACTATCTGTCATTCAGCGAAAACCCCATTTCAATACGAGGTCATCGAACTGAAATATTTAGTGGTACTTCATAGAGTACCATCATTTAGTGGTACCACACTGTATATAATATTCTATAAGACATAACAATATGTGCTGTTTATTTGTTTAAACTTTTATTCACGCAGTTCGAACATGTCACGAAAAATACCCCCAAATATAAAATATATTATAATATGACAGTATAATTTTACTAATATGATAAATTTGTAATATCATTTTATACCTTGGTCCATGCACGATTTAAACAGTAATTTCATCATCTTGAACGGTCTCAGTTCGTCCAGTTGAATGGGTTCGGTAACAATCATTCGCTTCTGGTTTAATTTCGCTTCTTTAATCACAGTGAATGAGTTTCGTTTGATTTCGCCATCATTGAGAATTGTGTTTTTTATAAAATTACCACACGCAAACTGATAGAAATCATCACATGGATCTACTGATTGATCCATGTTGTTGATTAAGGAAGCCGCTGGAATATTAATCAGTTTTAGTATCATATTACATAAAGCATACAGACATATGAAGGGTTCAGGGGAAAAACGATCATGGTCAATAGAAAGAAAAAATCAAATAATTATTATAGTACCTTTTGGTTAGTTTCATAACGAATCGACACGTGAATCGAGTTATGAAAAATAGATCACGGTTAATGATATAATACAGGTTTAAATATTACCATAACGGGAAAAAAGGCCAGAGTCCCACTTTAAAACTGCAATACTAAACATTTTAGGAATATTGACTATTATGGTTTTTCCCCGTAACCCATCATCTATAACTATCAAATGTTTAATGTAAACGTTTCATCAAATTAAATTTAAATCAGTTATTCATCTAATCGTATATCAAATGAATGACGCTTACCAGCTTTCACACAACCAGTTGAGAGGCAAATAAGGTTATCTCTTTCGTATTTACTATTCTGGAGCATCCTCCATGAATTGGCAACCAAACCATTTTTTTCAGGTGATATCGACGGAATGCTCTCTGTGAAAATTACAAAATTAGTTGTAAGTTATAATCGTATAATCTAGTTAAATTGTCATTATACCTTAACTTGTATGTACGGAGCATACAATTATAATCATTTAATTATGTGTATGTAACGTGAATTATATATTATAGTCTTTCATTTATGGCGGATAGTCGACTTAACGCGTCGTAAATCATTTAAGAACTTATCATATTTTTAGAAGGAATATTATAAAATTATAACTAAATAAAGTCTCAGAGATTAAAGCTAGGTACCTACCTTCTATCTACCATTAAATACATTATTGTTTTTTTTTCGTATAATCTATAATAATTAAGTACTGATTGCGATAAACATGAGCACCAATAAGAAAGGCACTATTATTATTAGGTAGGTACGTCCAACTGGCTCTTATTTCGATATAGTTTTTAATAAATTAGTTAAAAAATTATAAACACAACATCACTATATTTCACATGACCAATAAAATCACTTCTGTATTAAAACATATATTAAAGAGTACTAAAATGTGTTGTTGGATTTTGTGTTGATTGGTACTTCGAATCTGTTCGATGTACAAGGATAATATTCTTCCAGAGGGATTTTAAAAATATAGGCAATAAACTGAAACGTAATATATAGGTACACTGCATATTATATATTTATATAGTATATACTCTGAGCCAGTTATCACGATATTGATCGATGTGTAGGTATCTATTATACAGTCTTGTAAAGTACTTTTATTTGCATTTTCTTATTAATAAAAAAAAATACTTTTTTCCAATCCAGAAAAATAGTTTTAAATTTGGGACGAGACATATTATAAATCATGAACATTAATTTTGTTCTTTGAACGAAATATAATATCGGCCCATGATATGATTATTTTTATAAACACCAATGTATTGTATCCCGTATGGCCGTATCATATAGGGTCAACATTTATAAATAACTTATGATTACGATTATTTTTAATTAAAATTAATAAATGTTAATTACCAACCACTCAAAAACTGATAAAAACTAGTTGTGAAAAAAGTATTCTAATAGTATTCGAATATATTTTTTAAGAACTATTCGAATACGTATTCTGAATAACTTAATACTCATTTATTCGAATATGTATTCTGAATACAAAATAAAAGTATTATTTACAAGACTGCAATTATCATATTTTCTACTTTTATAGTACATTATATACTAGTGCCGAGCACAAAATCCGGATCAATAAAATTCATATCCGGATTGATCCGGATTGAGACAGATGTTACAATCCGTTAAATCCGGATTTAATATACTAATCCGGATTATGATTCAAATCCGGATTATGATACAAATTATTATAACACGATTTGAAAACAATTTTTTTATATTTATCTAAAATCTTTAATATTATTCACAAAATATGTATTTAACTACCCAATTACTACCCTTTAAGATACTCAATGATTTCAAAACTAGCCAAAAAATATTTGTGTTACCGTCAACATCTACTCCATCTGAAAGAGCTTTTTCCACTGCAGGAAACATTATAACTTCAAAAAGAAATTGTCTGGCTGGTGAAACAGCCAAGTGGTTAATATTTCTTTCACATAATGCTAAATTATAATTTATATATTATTTTATTTGTTGTTGACTATTGTATGATGTATGATGTATAATGTATAATTTTATAATGTCCTGAATTTCTACAAGTTTAAATATACTAAGATGTAATAAACAATTTTCTATCAAACGTGACAACTTGAGCAAGTTTTCAACTTCATACTTCTGTAACTTTTTGATTTTTATAGTAAAGTTTAAAGCTAAATTTGGAATCACAATTTAGTCTTGGTGTATATATTTTTTTTAGTATTATTTAATATTTACAATACAGATATTATTATTATTATTATTATTATTAGGTAGCACCTTCAAAGGGTAATGAGGAACAGAAATACATAAGTACATACTACATAAACAGAAATATACGAAAATCAAATTTCTATGATCAAATTACAGTATGCCTAAAATTGATATTACATACAATAACATAAAGATACTTAATGATTAGTTGGTAATACCTAGAATAAAGGAACATCATAATAATTTATTATTATAAATCGCAAAAACATTGGTTATAACTTATATAATATAATATATGGTTTTCTTATTTTGGTTTTTTCTGTATATCTTCCTACTACATACTACATAGGCAGGTATCTAACAATAAATTGTGAAAAACTCGAAAAAAAATAATATATACCGACTATTACGTACCTACTATCTATCCTATATTAACTTATTTTATCTTCGTTACCGATTGCGCTTGATACTATGTCATACAATTTTTATTCTTACTCGCGCTGCAGCTGTGGTTCAAGTACATCATTGTCAGAGTTAGGGCCAAGAACGACGATAGCATTTTGCCGGCGACGTTGGACAGACTCCGTTCCAAGTTTATCGGGCTTCTGAAATGGAGCAGACACCAATATTGTTATTCTGAGGTAATAAAATATTAAAACGTACTCAGGTTTGAGAGTGTGTGTGTGTGTGTGTGTGTGTATGAAATTCATGACCAGTGGGTAAATAACAGTGTATGATAACGATAGTATGTAACGCTCTCTTATAATATATAGGCTGGGTGTCCACATTTTTGCCAATATTTAATAATATTTTAATTTTAATAAAGATAAATTTAGTATGCAATGTGTGAATATAAATTATATGTACATTATTTTACAACAGTAAAACAACCTTATTATGTTCTTTATAAATATATTGAATAGGTACAATTGTATAAAATGTTGAGCGGAGCTACTATAATGTGTTTTGTTCTTATTTCTAATAGGTACCTTAACGAGCAATGCGATTTTTTCAATTATTTTCGATAAATAATTTTTTGTTTGACTAAAAAACTTGAAAATGTCATACTAGGTTCCGCATAAGTTGTTAAGAGTCATGTAACAGTCTAACGAAGTTTTCACGTTTTAGTGAAAATCACAAATTGAGATTTTAGGTATGTAGATATAGCCGTATAGATACTTAAGCCTACTTATACATAATTAGCATAATATATATATTAGGAAATCTTAATTCATGTATAAAATGTATAATAATTAATCGTGTCAGTAATGTCAATATCTTATAAAATTAATAAAAGTTTACATAAAAATGTATGTTAAATATTTTATTAAGAAGACTCTTGTCGTACACTTGAAAGTACCTGTTTGTTATCTAGACGTGTAAAATACGTAAATTGTAGTATTAGTTATCTTCTTATAACACTTATTATAAGCTTATGATACAAAATGTATACCTATAGAGTACTCTATAGATTGTTTAATTCAAAGAGTACCTACAAAAAAAATAAAAATAAATAATAATAATATATTTTTTAGTTAGGTAAGTTTTTTAGTTACGTAATCCAACAGAAAGATAAAAAGTGATTTTTATGTCTGACAATAGGTGAATAATTAATTAATAGAATAAAATCACGATATTAGGTGAATGGCTACAACTCATTTGCGCACATTTACCTTTTTTACAACTCATTTGCGCACAAAAACATAACTCATTTGCGCACAATTTACGAACAATAGAAACCTTTTTTCCGAGAATTTTATCCACGTATAGGGTGTACATAATCTCCATACAACCATATTTTTGATTTGGTCAATACTGGTAGTGGACAATTATTATACTCAAACAACATTTTCCTTCACCCTTTAAAAGGACTTTCTGTCTCATCATATTCTGATGTTATAGGCTGGCGAGTGGTGGGTTTAAAAATGATGTTTTAGCTATTACACATTATTCAAAATGTTGTCAAATTACAATAAATTAGGTACAATCATTTTTACAAGTCATTAAAATTTACAAATTACAATAGATTAGGTACAATCATTATTAATTTTTACAAAAGTCATTAAAATTTACAATCTACATAAATTACAGTTAATACATAATATTTAATATTTATTGGTACGCGTTTGCATCAAATAGGTTATAAGATCAATTTTTTTAAATTTGTAATCTGAATATATTTTTTAAAATTTTGTTTTTTTAATATTTCTGTCCTACGTGTGTTTTCCTTATTTTTTTTTAATGAGTTTATTTTTAAATCGGTGTCGTCTTGAATTTCCATGAGTATTTGTATGATTTGGTGAATATGAGGGTGGGGGGTATAAAATTGGCTATTAAAGTGCATATGAAAGTTTTCAGCTCCGTTTGTTGTTCTAGGGCTATCGTCTGGTGCACTAGCCCATAATTCTGGCCCAAAATCAGCATCAAAATCAATATAATTTTTTTAAATATAGTCCGGAAAATCCATACTTATATTACTAGGAGCTTCATCCGAGTTTAGATAAGGTAAACCAAAAAAATATTTTCGTCATATATTATTTCGTTATTATTATTTACAATAATACTAGCATTACAAAATTTATTAGTACACCGATAATTGAAATTTCCATTTTTTAATTTCCTATACTCTCGAAATTTGAATTTGTTCAATATTTTACAACGTTTTTCTCTCCGTGTTAAACAAATAGCGTCCATTGTTATTACACCGCACGTTGTGCTTTAAGACTATATAAGGCTATATTGAAGATACTCCAATAACGGGTGATCATTGATATCAATAATATTGAACGTGTAACGTGTTGGACAGCTTAAGACACCCTGTACACCCAAAACTGTACTTAAAAGCTGGTTTTCATTGTTTACTATTTTGTGCGCAAATGAGTTGTCGTAAATTTAAAAAATATATTAATATGTGCGCAAATGAGTCTCCACCAGGTGAATTCAGTTGCTATAAGCGTTGAAAGGATAGGGAGGGAAATTCTCAGTGGTGCAGGATGGTAAAAATCGGCCAACTAATGGAGAGGTAGCTTGTGTAACATATAAATTATTCGGTAAACGGACACTTTGTACTATCTATTGTTTGAGTTGCATACCGCGGACACTTTGTACGGTGAAAATAAATTGATAAAAATCAATCGCGGACACTTTGTACGATATAAATAAACCGGGAAATATAGTCGAGAGATAAGATAAAATTGACTTGCTCAAAACTTTAGATCGCGAATCGTGATCAAATATTAGGTGGAAGTGTTCAAAAGTGACTTGTACGGGTAAAGTTACTACAAACCTTCATGAATAAAAACCAAAATACACAAAAAACAATCCACGAAGCCTGTACACAGCACGAAAATAAAATAATTACAAATACACAATTACTTGAAATAATTTGCCATACTTTTAATTTTTAAATATTATATTAACTATTATTATTATTTTATGTCTGTTAACTACATGGGTTTTGTAATAACAAATTATGTGATAATATGATATAGGTACTATATATACGCACTTGTATCTTTTGTTTTTTTCATTTGAAAAATACACACTTCTATTTAGGTACCTACCTCAAATAGTACAAACTGTCCGCCATGTACATTGTATTGTTATTTGAAATAGTACAAACTGTCCGCCATATTGACGGTTGTTACTACCTGAAATAGTACAAACTGTCCGCGGTTTTAATTTTTTCTAGGTGACCGTACAAAGTGTCCTACAACCAAATTATTCGTGTTTGAGAAAACTATAGTAATATTGTGATATTATGATTAACAAAAGGACCGTCCGTAACAAACTTATATCTATAAAAGTAAATTATGCAATGTTAACGTCCAAACGTTTCCATTCACTAATCACTCACTATTTGAACGCATCTATTAAGACGAAAACCATAGACATATAAATTATATTTAAATATATTACATTATAATTTATATTACTAGATTAAGTATATATTATTGTATTATTATATTAAATTACACATAGTTAATATGCCTATGGCAAAAATGAAACGATATCGCCGTCATCGGTAGATAAGAATCGGCAGTCTAACAAAATAATAGGTACATTTGAAAATTTCTCAAAAATTATCGTTACACACATTTTACGTTACCTTAATAACACCTGTCGGTTGTAAATGATTAGCGGGTTGTCAAAATTCTGCATCTTCATTTTTCGTCCAGTCTTATTGTAAATTAAATAGGAAAAACACGGTTGAACAAAGAAAAAAATCGCATATATCATATAATTTGAATTATAACTGTTGAAAGTGAAGCTTGACGGACTAATGACTTTAGTATTAGTATAAATTAATAATAACTAGCCACAATATTATATTTATGTATACGTATAATATATAATAACATACAACAGGACAATAACTGTGACAGCACACACACACACCGTATACGCTATACGACGGTGCCTGTGCAAGTGAGTAATACAAACTTCAAATGCCCTATGTATTATATGAACAACCGAGGTCATGTTACATCCGTATAGAGCACGAGTCGTATACTCGTATAACTAGATACTGAAATGTACACACGTGTCAAGGTTGACTATTATTATTAATTGTATATTTCAACAGTAACGGTATAGTGTCGGTGGCGCTGGAGCGTAATTGATTGTCGTCAGGAAGCAAAACAGAAAAGAATTGTAATAAGAAAATCGTTGTTGAAGTGAAAACGGGTGTCTGCCAGTCAAAAATATAACGTGAACGGTTAGACCAGGGGTCACCAACTTATTTCTATGGGGGTCCGTTTTGAAACTTACCAAACTTTGCGAGGTCCAAACATATCTATAATATTATTATCTATCATATCTAATTTGTATTTTTCGAAATATTCTATAACAGCAATATTATATATGTCTTCACCAATAGTGGTTCCTGACAGTGGTAAAATAGTTAATGTTTCTTCAACAAACTGTTCACTGGTATAGTCGAAATATCGTACAAAAATACACAACTGAGCTGTATGAGTCTTATAGATCAATTTAAATGCCCCCCCCCTTTCGAAATTTGAACTTCTGACCACGCCAAACTTTTGTGCATCGTTTGTGCAGAAATGTGCACCAGGTCTGTGCACAAAAACTCCCAGCGCTATCCAAAAAACAAAGTGGGGGGCCATTGAAACGAGACACCCCTTTTTTGAAATTTTAAATATTTTTCATATTAATAAATTTCATTTAGGTACCTAAAAGGTTTGATACAATTTTATCTAAAATCGTGGGCTGGTACAGATTTACAGATTTTACTAACAGCAAGACATAAACTTCCCGCATAAAAAATATTTAAAAATTAAATTCCAGCGTTTCAAACACACTAATACAAAAATCTTAATTTAAAATATCTAAAAACATAACTACCGCTTATAAATTATAACTACAGGTAAGCAATCCTAACTTAAAAATAAAAAGTTATAAAAAGCATATAGATTAATATAATAATTGCATAAGTTGTATACAACCGACCATTAGTATCTGATACTTATTAGTTGTATCATCTTATAATACATGTTTTGGGCATAACATTTAATTTTACACTTTTAATGTAATTCCGATTGTATCAAATTTGTAATATTTGTGTTTTTAGACGGCTTGTCATGCATAGAATACTATTACCACTACACCACACTCATTTACTGACCATTTTTAAATATTTAATGTCACAAAAATATTGAGTTATAATGTCACAAGTGTAGAACAAATTGGAAATGTATCCCTACAGATTTTGTACTGTTACTCAAATAAACATTATTATTTATATGTAATATTATACCCACTCAGGCACTCAGCACTCAATATTTTATAATTTTCATGAAAACATACAATTACACCACTAAACACATTATCTTTCTTGAATTATTGTTAGAAGCAATCATAATAAAATAAACAAAGAATTTATACTTTAAGTTAAATTTATTAAAAAATATTAAAAATATTATCGATTTCTTGTGTTAATTTAACAACATTGTTTTAATACTATATTAATTAAACAAACAAATCTGAATTCTTCAGTAGGTACACAATATACTATATTAATAACTATCAGGCACAGAATTAGAATTTTTTTGCCGAGTGTTCTGAGTGATTCAGATACATTTTGTTCAAGAACAATGCCACAACAGACTGTTTTTTTTCATAAGCTACAATGATTACTTAGATAAATAATTTAATTAAGATCAAGAACTTCTAGCATACATTTATTTTTTTAAAACACTCAGTATTTTTTTATCATACTATAAGAAATTATTATTCCTTATACCATGGTTTTAATTTTTATATTCTATGTTCTAAATGGGTATTATATAATATAATGAACGTTTGATTAATTAACAATGTTTAAATAATACTACCTATATGGGTATATAAGGTTTTTTTCATGTAAATAAGGAAATATTTCACACAGAGTTTAAACGACTACATTAACAATGAAGTACAAATTTGACAATTTTTTTTCAAATATTATTACTGTTAATGTAAATTTTGAAAACAATTAACAAATAAGTAATAACAATGGTTGTGATTTATTTAATTGAATTTCAAATTACCTCTGTGAACAAATAATTTATCCAAAAGGTCTTATTTGTTGACTATAATATAACAAGTTGGACTTATAACTTATAACTTAAGAAGATACGAAAATTGTATATTTTGGAAGAGGCACGCGATTGACTTTTGCTCCAGAAAAAAAATACGATTTAAATTATACGAAAATTTCGATTTACAGGATATGTGCCTGCGCGATGTATATAAAACGGCTATTTGGAAACGAACACGGAAAATGATGTTTTCCAAACCGCTTTTCACCGAACGGGTAGAGAACGTAGAATCAAAATTTAGAGGGGTCCCTCGGTTAACTTGGGCTAGAAATAGAAAAATACGAATTAAATTATACGATGATTTCGATCTACGGGATATGTGGCTGTGCGATGTACTTAAGACGGCTATTTGGAAACGAAAACCGAAAATCATGTTGTCCAAACCGTTTTTAATCAACCTTATAATCAACGAAGGTTCAAAAATTGTATATTTTAGAAGAGCCACTCAATGGACATGGTAACCAAAACAAAAAATACGATTTAAATTTTACGATAATTTTGATTTACGGTTATGTGGCTGCCCGATGTATTTAAAACGGATACTTGGAAAAGAAAACGGAAAATTATGTTTTCCAAACCACTTTTAATCGAACTTATAACCAACGAAGTTACGAAAATTGTATATTTTGGAAAAGGCACTCGATGGACTTGATAACCAAAAAGAAAAATACGATTTAAATTATACGATAATTTCGATTAACGGTTATGTGGTTGTGTGATGTATTTAAAACAGATATTTGTAAACGAAAACCGAAAATTGTGTTTTCCAAGCCACTTTTAATTGAACTTATAACCAATGAAGATTCGAAATTTTAAATTTTAGAACAGGCACTCGATGGACTATAAATCTAGAAAAAAAAATACGCTTTAAATTATACGATAATTTCGATTTATGGTTATGTGGCTGTGCGATGTACTTAAGACGGCTATTTGGAAACGAAAACCAAAAACTATATTGTCCAAACCATTTTTAATCAACCTTATAACCAACGAAGGTTCGAAATTTGTATATTGTAAAAAAATCACTCGATGGACTTGGTAACCAAAAAGAAAAATACGATTTAAATTATACGATATTTTCGATTTACGGTTATATAATTGCGCGATATATTTAAAACGGCTATTTGGAAATGAACACCGAAAATTATGTTTTCCAAACAACTTTTAATCGAACTTTTAACCAACGAAGATACGAAAATTGTGTTTTTAGGAAGAGGGAGTCGATGAACTTTTGCTCCAAAAAAAAAATACGATTAAAATTATACGATGATTTCGATTTACGGTTATGTGGTTGTGTGATGTATTTAAAGCAGATATTTCAACACATCGGTGTGATCAAACAAATTGTATCAAATTTGTAATATTTGTGTTTTTAGACGGCTTGTCATGCATAGAATACTATTAAAACTACACCACACTCATTTACTGACCATTTTTAAATATTTAATGTCACAAAAATATTGAGTTATAATGTCACAAGTGTAGAACAAATTGGAAATGTATCCCTACAGATTTTGTACTGTTACTCAAATAAACATTATTATTTATATGTAATATTATACCCACTCAGGCACTCAGCACTCAATATTTTATAATTTTCATGAAAACATACAATTGCACCACTAAACACATTATCTTTCTTGAATTATTGTTAGAAGCAATCATAATAAAATAAACAAAGAATTTATACTTTAAGTTAAGAGGGAAACGAACACGGAAAATGATGTTTTCCAAACCGCTTTTCACCGAACGGGTAGAGAACGTAGAATCAAAATTTAGAGGGGTCCCTCGGTTAACTTGGGCTAGAAATAGAAAAATACGAATTAAATTATACGATGATTTCGATCTACGGGATATGTGGCTGTGCGATGTACTTAAGACGGCTATTTGGAAACGAAAACCGAAAATCATGTTGTCCAAACCGTTTTTAATCAACCTTATAATCAACGAAGGTTCAAAAATTGTATATTTTAGAAGAGCCACTCAATGGACATGGTAACCAAAACAAAAAATACGATTTAAATTTTACGATAATTTTGATTTACGGTTATGTGGCTGCCCGATGTATTTAAAACGGATACTTGGAAAAGAAAACGGAAAATTATGTTTTCCAAACCACTTTTAATCGAACTTATAACCAACGAAGTTACGAAAATTGTATATTTTGGAAAAGGCACTCGATGGACTTGATAACCAAAAAGAAAAATACGATTTAAATTATACGATAATTTCGATTTACGGTTATGTGGCTGCGCAATGTATTTAAACGGATATTTTAAAACGAACACCGAAAATTATGTTTTCCAAACCACTTTTAATCGAACTTATAACCAATGAAAATACGAAAATTGTATATTTTAGAAGAGGCACTCGATGGACTTGATAACCAAAAAGAAAAATACGATTTAAATTATACGATAATTTCGATTTACGGTTATGTGGCTGCGCAATGTATTTAAACGGATATTTTAAAACGAACACCGAAAATTATGTTTTCCAAACCACTTTTAATCGAACTTATAACCAATGAAAATACGAAAATTGTATATTTTAGAAGAGGCACTCGATGGACTTTAAATCTAGAAAAAAAATACGCTTTCAATTATACGATAATTTCGATTTACGGTTATGTGGTTGTGTGATGTATTTAAAACAGATATTTGTAAACGAAAACCGAAAATTATGTTTTCCAAACCACTTTTAATCGAACTTATAAACAATGAAGATACGAAAATTGTATATTTTGGAAGAGGGAGTCGATGGACTTATGCTCCAGAAAAATAATACGATTTATATTATACGATGATTTCGATTTACTTGATATATGGTTGCGCAATGTATTTCAACGGATATTTTAAAACGAACACTGAAAATTATGTTTTCCAAACCGCTTTTAATCTAACTTAAAACCAACGAAAATACGAAAATTGTAAATTTTAGAAGAGGCACTCGATGGACTTTAAATCTAGAAAAAAAATTCGCTTTCAACTATACGATAATTTCGATTTACGGTTATGTGGTTGTGTGATGTATTTAAAACAGATATTTGTAAACGAAAACCGAAAATTATGTTTTCCAAACCACTTTTAATCGAACTTATAACCAACGAAAATACGAAAATTGTATATTTTGGAAAAGGCACTCGATGGACTTGGGATCCAAAACGAAAAATACGATTTAAATTATATGATAATTTCGATTTACGGTTATGTGGTTGCGCAATGTATTTAAACGTATAGTTAAAACGAAAACCGAAAATCATGTTTTCCAAACCTCTTTTAATCGAACCTATAACCAAAGAATATTCGAAATTTTAAATTTTAGAACAGGCACTCGATGGACTATAAATCTAGAAAAAAAAATACGCTTTAAATTATACGATAATTTCGATTTATGGTTATGTGGCTGTGCGATGTACTTAAGACGGCTATTTGGAAACGAAAACCAAAAACTATATTGTCCAAACCATTTATAATCAACCTTATAACCAACGAAGGTTCGAAAATTGTATATTTTAGAAGAAGCATTCGATGGACTTGGTAACAAAAAAGAAAAATACGATTTAAATTATACGATAATATCGATTTACGGTTATGTGGTTGCGCAATATATTTAAACGTATAGTTAAAACCGAAAATTATGTTTTCCAAACCACTTTTAATCGAACTTATAACCAATGAAAATACGAAAATTGTATATTTTAGAAGAGGCACTCGATGGACTTGATAACCAAAAAGAAAAATACGATTTAAATTATACGATAATTTCGATTTACGGTTATGTGGCTGCGCAATGTATTTAAACGGATATTTTAAAACGAACACCGAAAATTATGTTTTCCAAACCACTTTTAATCGAACTTATAACCAATGAAAATACGAAAATTGTATATTTTAGAAGAGGCACTCGATGGACTTTAAATCTAGAAAAAAAATACGCTTTCAATTATACGATAATTTCGATTTACGGTTATGTGGTTGTGTGATGTATTTAAAACAGATATTTGTAAACGAAAACCGAAAATTATGTTTTCCAAACCACTTTTAATCGAACTTATAAACAATGAAGATACGAAAATTGTATATTTTGGAAGAGGGAGTCGATGGACTTATGCTCCAGAAAAATAATACGATTTATATTATACGATGATTTCGATTTACTTGATATATGGTTGCGCAATGTATTTCAACGGATATTTTAAAACGAACACTGAAAATTATGTTTTCCAAACCGCTTTTAATCTAACTTAAAACCAACGAAAATACGAAAATTGTAAATTTTAGAAGAGGCACTCGATGGACTTTAAATCTAGAAAAAAAATTCGCTTTCAATTATACGATAATTTCGATTTACGGTTATGTGGTTGTGTGATGTATTTAAAACAGATATTTGTAAACGAAAACCGAAAATTATGTTTTCCAAACCACTTTTAATCGAACTTATAACCAACGAAAATACGAAAATTGTATATTTTGGAAAAGGCACTCGATGGACTTGGGATCCAAAACGAAAAATACTATTTAAATTATATGATAATTTCGATTTACGGTTATGTGGTTGCGCAATGTATTTAAACGTATAGTTAAAACGAAAACCGAAAATCATGTTTTCCAAACCTCTTTTAATCGAACCAATAACCAAAGAATATTCGAAATTTTAAATTTTAGAACAGGCACTCGATGGACTATAAATCTAGAAAAAAAAATACGCTTTAAATTATACGATAATTTCGATTTATGGTTATGTGGCTGTGCGATGTACTTAAGACGGCTATTTGGAAACGAAAACCAAAAACTATATTGTCCAAACCATTTATAATCAACCTTATAACCAACGAAGGTTCGAAAATTGTATATTTTAGAAGAAGCATTCGATGGACTTGGTAACAAAAAAGAAAAATACGATTTAAATTATACGATAATATCGATTTACGGTTATGTGGTTGCGCAATATATTTAAACGTATAGTTAAAACCGAAAATTATGTTTTCCAAACCACTTTTAATCGAACTTATAACCAACGAAGTTACGAAAATTGTATATTTTGGAAAAGGCACTCGATGGACTTGATAACCAAAAAGAAAAATAAGATTTAAATTATACGATAATTTCGATTTACGGTTATGTGGCTGCGCAATGTATTTAAACGGATATTTTAAAACGAATACCGAAAATTATGTTTTCCAAACCACTTTTAATCGAACTTATAACCAACGAAAATACGAAAATTGTATATTTTAGAAGAGGCACTCGATGGACTTTAAATCTAGAAAAAAAATACGCTTTCAATTATACGTTGATTTCGATTTACGGGATATGTGGTTGCGCAATGTATTTAAACGTGTAGTTAAAACGAACACCAAAAATTATGTTTTAAAAACCACTTTTAATCGAACTTATAACCAATGAAGATACGAAAATTGTATATTTTGTAAAAATCACTCGATGGACTTGGTAACCAA